ATAAATATAGAGGGCCTCTGCGAGGACTGTCCTCGGCGTGGTTTTCCTCTAGTTCTCGTTGGGTAGAGTTTGTTGCCATTTCAGACTTCCTCACTGGGGATTGCGGTCCTTGTTGACCCGCGTGACGACCGATGCAGTTTAGGAATATTTTTCGTTGTGTTAGCATTATAGTTAGTTCGTATTTACCCATACATGGGGGCTGGTTCGTGGACGCCAGAGCATCTCCATACTATGGTGGGCCATAACGTTCAGGGGCTAGGCCTCCTCCTGCTATTATTTTACCACTGCTATTATTATTATTATTATTATTATTATTTCCTTTGATTTTTGTTGTATACACATTTCCGTCAGGATCCCAACGAGAAACCTAATGTCAGAAATGGCTTCATGACATTTTCCACTGATTGTTTTTTTTACAAAAAAAAAAAAACAAAACTCTAAGATCACACACATTTTTTATTATTATTATTATTATTATTATTATTATGTGTGCTATCATCTTACCAGAGAGTAATTATAGTACCTAATTACCAAGTCTCCTTCGGGGTCTCTGAGTAAAAAGGCCATTATAGGAGACTTATCTATACATATTTGGGGCGTTTTGTTTAGATGAAGAGGGTTTTGCGGATGATATGTGCAATTCCGCACAAAGTAATCTTTTGTAGCTCTGAAATGTTAACGTCGTTCAACTTCTATTTAATAATTTACTCACATGTTTTTCGGTACTCTTCTTTATCTCCAATGCGCCATCACTACAGAGATAATCGTAGTTTTATTATTATTATTATTATTATTAATGTATTTATACATCACCAGTGTTATTTTGATTTAATAGACGCATAAGGTTGAGTGACTTTCTTGTATCTAATAATTCTACAAATAACTCTTTTCAAAATGTAAGGTGAATGTGCTGGTAGTGCAATAGATATCGGCTCGGAATGAGAAATCCGTGAACTGAGTTCGAATTCCAGTTGGGTTCATTACATTCATTTACATGCAAATACCCTTTGGAAATGTATGAATTCACCTCCTATCCCTCCGCCAGCTATTGGTCAAATAATAAAGACTTGTATCTGGAAAAATCATTGTTACACTAAAAGAAAGAAAGCAAATGATATTCACTCAAAGTATGTTATGGATTTAAATAATCCCAGAAAATGTCGATAAGCGATAAAAACAAATCAATCAAAATGTAAGTATCTTTCAAATTAAATTTGCACACACACACATACGTACGATAAGGGAATTTTTATACACACATTTTTATTCGCCAATTTTGTATTCTTTCTATTCTATATAGTTCGCTTAGGCAATAAAATATGTTGTTGTATAAATTGTTTGCGCATTGATTTTTATACTTTCTTGTTTGAAGAAACTTCAATGAGTCCCCTATCTAACTATAATTGTGCTTGTTCCTCCCTTAGTTAGTACGACCGTTACCCTCTACCAAACTCTCATAAATAATGGATTATTCCATTTTGCTCGCATGGAAAGACGGAAAAGACATAACAGAGACACCCATTTGTTTCAGTGTAAGAAAGAAAGAAGTGAAGATAGAAATGTTTAACGTCCCCTGCCAATACCTAATAAATAATGGACTATTCTGTTTTGATCGCGTGGAAAAACGGAAAAGGCATATCGGAGACGCTACTTGGTTTCAGTGAGAAAATGTAAGGAAGAGAAGATAGAAGTGTTTAACATTTGTTTCATTGAAATGGAAAATATTAGCAATAAAAATAACGATCAGTATTCATATTTGTGGTTGTTTATATTTTGTTAAAGTTGTTAAAATCAAATATTAAACGATGCGATAGGCGAATTTCTGCAGACATCTTTTTGTCGTAGAATTCGCCATGAGCTTATTTAATAGTTAACTTCAGAATTATGATTGATCAGAAAATTCAAATAAGAAAACCGTTATATTTTCACGGCTATTTCTCGTCAACTAATATTACTCTAAATCTCCGTAACGAAAATTCCCCCTACAACAAAAAATGGTAACGCCGCTTCACAATAACTTTTTAGTGTGAGATTTTAATTATGCAACCCGAGGGTTGTTCGTCATATTTTAAATAAATATAGATATAATAGTATAGTTACTGATATTTATCTTTGCAGGCCGAAATAAAAAAAAAAAATGGAACTCAGAAGTTATTGAGTAAAGCTATTGGGCATACAATGTTGAAAACTGGGAAAATGTTGGACAGAGATTACAAAATAATCAAAAAGAATATGAAAACATTGTCAAGATAAAAACTAGAAAAAAAAACTGACTTTAAAAATTTTAGAAAAATGTTTGAAAAAAATTAAATGAGTAAGAAAAGTGAATTGACCAGCAAGAAAATATTTAAAGAAACTGTTACTCGGATGTAAACAAATACAAAAAATTAAGAATATTAAGAATATTGACTAAAGGTAAACTACCAAATTTAAGTCCAGGGACTTCTTACTCCCGCTGAAGGAAACACTCCCTGATTGACCATGTCTTCAAGGGTGTAGCCATGCTCATCACGCTCGGCCAATTGCGGTTTGGTGAAGCTATTTAACCTACAGTTCGTATGGATTGCCGTTGAATTCATCCACCTTTTTTTTTGTGCAGCTGATATTTTATTCATCTTCCTCAGTAGACCAATGTCTGGTGGGGAACTGGTTTAGTTACCAACAACATTTAAGTAAATATCACAAATAGAAAGATGTAAGTTGTGTAAAAAAAACTGATTCATCTCCTCTCTACAGCAGAACTCGTTGTTTTGGGGAGATAATAATTTCAACAATACAACTTTTAGAGAAAACATTTAAGGTAATATTTTTGGCATTAAAATTATAGGTACATTCAAGATTGATCATAATGTAAACATAAATCCATGTAATTACTGTGCAAGATATATTTGATTGATATTTGCTACAATAAGCTAAAGATTATAATCCTGTAAGACAAAACTCCATTTTGTACGAGAAGAATAACTGGGTGTCAACAAGTTCACCCATGACTTATAGCAAAGATGTTACTATACCAATTTACTTAATTGCCTGACCTCCCACCGTCATATTTTGAAGAAATGCGCAAATTAGAGTGTAGCACAGATGATAGTAATGGGATTGAATATGTAAGCAGCTACTCCAAGAAGATTTGAATGATCTGATTCGAAATTTCAGTCGATCGAAGCTAGAATCTGTACTTTTAGCATTCAATTTAAAATAAAAGAACTAAACCCGGAAGCAAAATTAACAGCTTTTTAAAAATAAATAATTTCACCCTAAGCAAGACAATAAAGTCACTAAGACACAAGAGGTTACTGAATGTGAGAGAATATGAGAAAAACAAAGATTAAGGAGAGAGAGCAATAAAAGAACGGGATTTAGGAAGACATAATATAAAGATTGACATTGCATTTAAATTTTTGAAGATTAAAGTTGACTGGGAAGCAAGAAGCCGCAAAAGTGCGACAGAAGAAACTATTAATCGAAAAGAGAGAAAACTTCTTTTTTGCTTTAGTCAGGATCTTCATTTTGTATATTGTGGCAAAATCCGTAGACATTTTTTTCAAATGTGAATACTTGAACATCGATTGGTTAATTTTTATAGACACTTCAACCAGAAACTTGAATGACAATGACTGTGAATCACTTTCAATTACTCACGCAATCTTAAAGTAGAAATATCAAGATTGCCTTGAAAACGTTCTGCTATCACGAATACCAGTGTCATATTTATGCTGTCCTAAAAAGATAATAACATTTTGATTGAGCAGCAAAATGGAAACACAAAGTCGTCCTCGTTTTCTTCTTCTTCTTCTTCTATGTGCCATGTCCATTCAGGACGTTGGGGATCACAGCTTTTCACAATTTCGTGTCCTTTGTAGCGCTCAATAAATTTTGTCTTTTAGTTTCCTCACCTAAACTTTGTTCCACCATCCATTTACTCAAGCTCGCTTGGAAGGCTATGCGTTGCTTTCATCTGTCCCTCGTGATTTCAGTCTGTCCTGTGAGTATCATATTTTCTAAACCCTTTTTCCTCATTATGTACTCTAGAAACATCAAGTATCTTTTTCTAATGTTAATTCTAACTGTCCTTTTTGCTTCCATTTTCTCTAAAAGTTCGTTTGTCGCTCACATGTTCGGTCCATTGTCATCATCCTTCTGTAGAACCGCATTTCTGTTGCTTCAAATCTCTTCTTCATCTGTGAGAAGATTGTCCAGCATTCGCTGCCATATAGGAGGATTGATATTACATAGCAGTTCAGTACACTTTTCGTTGTTACTAACTTTGCTTCGTTTTTGGAAAGCATCTTTCGCTATCTCAATGTGTCTTTGAATTTCAGTGTCGCACTTTCCTTCCTCTGTTTAAACGCTTCTCAGATATTTAAATTTTTGTACTTGTTTGATTTTGGTCTCTTCAGTGTCTGCTTGTGTGACAGTAAAGCAAGATTCTTTTGAGAAAGAGACATGGTCTGTAAGGGGAAACGCTGACTACAGTTGCAATTATCATTATTAACAGGTTGACAGAGAAAATAATTCTTTCTCCCACTATTCCAGGTCAAGCTTGGTCCGATAAGAAATTTGTTAAAGCATTGAACAAAGCTGGTAATTATTTTAAATATATTTATGAATGTCTCTATGGAAAAAAGCTAAAAACAAAAAACTTTGATTGTCTGCAGATACGTAAACTTATGAAAAATTCGAATTTCATAGATTCTACGAAAGAACTTGATGCCTTGTTTCATAATTGATTGTTTTTACGTCTTATCAACCTTTTGTAGGCCATTTAAAGCCAGATGATATTTTTAGATTGTAAGAATTTTGGGGAGATAATAATAATTTATTGATACAAGTTCTACTAATTAACCCATATCTGAGGGGGAAAGAACTGGATTCATATTTTATCCCAAGGGTATTTGCGCGTTAATGCATATAACGAACCCCATTGAACTCGCAACCCGGCTCTCCGATTTCCCATTCTGAACTGTTATCCATTACACCACTTCACATCCTAAGTTACAGCATTCCCAAGTGGTCACTCATCTAGGTACTGACCAGACTCGAAGTTGCTTAACTTCAGTGATCATACGAGCACCAGTCCTTCAACGGGATATGGCCGTAAGCTGGAAACGTTTGTTTGGCTCAGTTATGTTTTATTTGTCCAGAACTACCAAAGTAAACAATTATGAAGAAATTGACTAAAAGATGCTTAGTAACAAAATTTCTGTATCGTCACCATAATTGTTTTTATGACCCGAATGGTACGAATTGTGTTTTTCTATGCGTTCATTGTGATTACCTGAATCTACTTTTTTGCAGCTGCGGTTTGTCATTGTACTAAATAAATAGTCATTATGTCTTCCATGAATTTACTTTTGTATAATTTGATTCGGTTTCCATGTGATTTGACGATAAACAAACGCCCAACATTTAAACATTTTGCTTTTTCTTATGTTTTTCATGAGTCTTTGAAAAATAGAAAGTAAAATTAATTCCAGCATTAAATCTGAAATCAGTTATATACCCAAACTATCTCAAGATAAATTTAGCGAAATATATATATATATATATATATATATATATATATATATATATATATATCTGTGTATAAATAAAAAGAAAGAACAGTAAGTATATAATCCGGTGTTCTTATAGATATTTTTATTTTTACAAAATAGTGCTCAATGTAAATTTACAGAGCATTAATATTATAAATTAATTGATTTAAAATATGTTTTTTTTTCGCTACACAGTTCTAACCATGTTTCAAAAATGGACGCTAAAAGCCCCGAATTTAATTTTGTAATTAAATTAAAGACATTAGTTCCGTGTGTGTGTGTGTGTATGTATGTATAGGCAGCATATCTTCATTCAAGTAGGTTTCATTAAATAATATAGACATATTATGTCTATTTATTTTTATGTAAATTCTTTCTAGTTCACTAATTATCTTCTTGATGTTAAGTTGAAATTCATCAAGGAAGGCGCTGTACTTTTTGTTAACCCAAGTATGCATGTGTGGGTAGTGTAATGGATAATAGCTCGAATTATTAATCAGAGAGCTGAATTACAATTCCCATTGGATTTTTATATTCACTTACGCGCAAATATCCTTTGGAAAACATATGAATCCAGCTCTTCTTCCCCAGCTATAGGTTAATTTATATCACTATACCATTATTATCACCCAAAAATTCTTACGATATGAAAATAGTTGTATTATTTCTCTTCGGTTGATAACTTTGTTTCTCTTTTGATAATATAATTTTCTTACGACCCAGTGCAATCGTTATGCATCTTAAAATAAAACAAAATAAATATCACTAATTATACTTACAAATATATGGTTATTATTATTATTGTTATTATTATTATTATTATTATTATTATTAAAGAAAAACCAACTACATTGGTGCAACCAACAGGCAACTTAACAAAAGACCTAACAAGGAAAGAAAAAAGAAAATGACCTGAAGGCAAATACCTACCTACTCACTAAAAAAACTGCACAACGCCTAGATTACCTAGATTACTTCACAATATTGACTTCTGTCAAAGGACAGCCAGAGTCGTTACTCCAGCTTCACGCTCTCGCTATCTTTGGACGTATACACGTGACCATAACACGCCTACATTAATGTATCACGGGAAAAAATAAACAAAATAATTTTATTTTTAAAATCCCGTAGATAACCCCTCCTTACACAAATAAAAATCACCCGTGGGTGGGCCTAACTAGTCATGGCGATTGTACTATAAGGAATGAGTCAGAAAAACAAAATAAAAAACAAAAAATCAACAGCCAATAAACAAATAAACTAGACATGTGGCAGGTGACACAATAGGTATTTTATATTATGTCTACATTACTGCTATTTAGCATTCTGTTATCGCTGCTCAAATTTAGTATTGGAAACTTTTCTTCAAGACAATGCCTACACCTATCCCTAATATGTACTGTTTTTTTTTTCATATATTCTCCAAGAAATTTTTTAGGACTTATTTACTTCTAATTTAATCTTCCAGTAATACGCTGACAGCGTCGTAGCATTTTCATATTTACTGTGTTTAAAACTCAATTTATGATTATAATACCTTTTTTTTCATTCCTTTTCAATAGCCCCTATATATACTTTTTCTCCTTGACTTTATTATTAATTTCTATGTTTTTATCAAATAAATTATATTTTCCGCGAAGCAGTTACCTTCCATAGTACAGGCACTTTTTAATCTACAACTGCACTGGGTTTTATGTTGTTCACAATTACTGCTATTGAGCAACTTTCTGTTATGATCATCAATATTTTTTACACAACAATAACTGACTTAATATTATTTTTTATTGAATAGCTACCTCATTTTTCAGAAGTAGCAATGTATTTTCTAATTAATTTTAGGAATATTCCTCCTGTGGTTGTTTATACCGATTTACTGCATGGTGGGTTAAAAAATATTGGTTTTCTAATCCTATTCTTTTTATTTGTTGTTGTTTATTAAATTTGAGTTCGTTCTTTGTTCAATGCGCGTGCGCGCACACACACACACACACACACACACACACACACACACGTATAAGAACATACTACAAACACACGCACACACAGACACACACACACATCGGCGCGCATAGGATGAATGTAAAATTAGGAGGTTAATGATAATTTCAGATGGAAAGAAAGCGTCTGGAATCTACGGAAATAAAGTGCAAATGTCTTCAATGAAAATGTTGTTTGTTTTTTTTTATCATAAGTTTGCATGTGGACTAATCATACAAACACACTCTCTGCACAACATTGGCCGACATTTCCGCCTTATTCGGCACACACTCTCCTTCACGCATATACACACAGCACGAAATACCAAGAAACACACAAGCATGTACACACACACACACACACGCGTGCGCACAGACAGACAGAGAGAGAGTAACAAACATACTGCGTTCATATGCACGCATCACTGCACATTCACATACTGCACACTCACATAAGCACATCAACACTCTCTCTCCTCTCTCTCTCTCTCTCTGTATATATATATATATATATATATATATATATATATATATAATATAGCACATTGAGTGCTGGTGTTATAATAGTGCTCGATGTTATCTAACAGAGGTATAAGTTGTATTTTAATAAATATACATTTTTACTTTAACGGTAAATTGACTCGGAGATTCTCAATTGTGCACCTAAGAATTGCGTTGTGCATAAAAACTCCAAGGTCTGCTACCGGTAAGGAACAACATATATATATATATATATATATATATATATATATATATATATATATATATATATATATATATATATAGATAGATATTGTATGTGTGCATTCACACGATGTACACAGAACTCCCACACACATTAATCACATTCACGCATAGACATACACACATGTGTGTACAACACATGTTTTCACACTGTTCCACGTACACACAACATCAAGCACACACATACATACAATGCAAACGCACTCAATAGGAGTAGTAATTTCACCTGATTGTCTGATAACACTCCTCTCCGGTTTTTTGGTTCAACCCTTGTTTCCTGTTTAAGATGGATTTTCCGTTACTTCTAAAGTTTCAATATCCCCTTGTGTCTTATTGGCATTATCGCCTTGCTTGGGGTGAATTGACAAAAAAAAAACAACGTCTTCGGACTGCACTCCCTCATAGTACACGTATAAATGACAGACAGCACACTAGACACGCATACACCAATAGGCGATAATGTTTTTGACCAGATTAAATATATTTTAATATACTATTGAATTTGTACTCGTAGGGAAGATGGATTGACAGGGAAAATAGAATTGACGTCTTGAATCCATCTCTTTCTACCTTACGCATGGGTAAGGACCATTTAGCTTTGGTTGGCAGCCAGTCCAGAATAAAACAACTCTGAATTCAAAACCAGTCAGGCATAGGAGCTAATAACCCCACTCTGTAAAAAATAAAATTGCTACGAAAACTAAAGAGGCGTCTACAGGTTTAACATATATATATGATGACGGTCGCTACGTTTCGCGAGTATGATCATCGCTGACAAGTTTTCCTTCTACCCGGGTTTGGGAATTCCTCCTAGACTGGTTGCCACCTAAAGCTGAAGAATCTAGTCTTCCCTATTAATTAAGCCGTAGCTGGTGGTGTGTGTGGGGGGAACAAATGGATTCATACCTTTCACAAGAGTATTTACGCGAAAGGGAATATTAAGAACTGGAATTTGAATTTGAACCATCACACCACCCGCACATCTATAACAATAGATGTTAACAATGCCCATGCTAAGATTATAGTCGTGTACGTCTTGCACTCGGCTGAGATTCGAGTTCGAATTCCAGTCGAATCCATTACGTTCACTTACGTGCTAATAACCTTGGGAAAGGTATGAATCCTCTTCTACCCCACCCCAGTTATGGGTTAATAGCAGGACAGACCGGGTTCTAAAGCCTTGGATGGCAACTGGAGAAAGAAATGGCAACCTACTGCGGGAAAAATCTGACTCATCAGTCATGTATCGAAAGATACATGATTGCCTAAGCGTGTACCACACATGGCACGAAACTGACTGATGGCTTGCACAACACCGCAACAACTCACATCAACAATGCTAAAAATCACAAAGACAAGCATATGCGAGACATGATAGACTTGTGCAACTTATCTAATTTAGTGTCAAAGCATACTACTAAGCGTATTCTTTGAGAACATGGAATGGAACGGTTCATTTCAGCTAAGAAACCAACATTAACTTTTGATGACAAAATTTAGCAAGTAAAAGAGTTATGAACTATGGAATAGACATGCTTGGAATAAGATAGCTTAAGCATAGAGCTGTATCCTAATGAACAAGAATAATATCAAATGGCCTACAGGAAATCGAAATTACCCATTGACACAACGAAAACCGTTAAGTTTGGAGTTAGAATCTGATGCTTTGGGGTAACATGAAAGGGATGGCTCAAGAAAGTCGGTAGCTTGAGGAGTATCAATGTATCAAATTAATAATATAGCATCTGATACAAGGCAAAGAAGGCATTTTTTTTTAAATTGACGCAGCTCCATGCCAGTGGTTGCGTGCAGCACAACAGAATCTGGCTGCTAAATTCAACATT